GAGCAAAATCGGGTGCTGACACTAGCAATGGGCTAGGAATTAAGAATTCTAAATTAAGACCATCCATACTTTCCCATCAAAATATAAGTGAGACTTTATGGTGCCAAATTTAATGGTAAGACTAAGGTATCATAGAACCATCATAAAAGTCATTACAATTGTCATTCAAAATTTAATATCTAACCATATCAAGAAAATTAAACAAAATACATAGAAGAACATAACAAAAGGAAATTAATTATAAAAATAACAATCAAATTAATTGTTGCAAAACAACTCTTTGTTTTGCAAGGAACATAACATGTGGTTTATTCAAACCGATCGAATAATCCAAATGTTAAAACCATGTTCTCATAGATTTAATAAAAGAAGTAGTCGAACAACTTGCAACCTCCTTAGATCATAAGACCACATCAATGGAATCCCATGTATTAACAAAAAGTAAATTAAAAAAATCTAAAAAAATTCAAAACAGTAACACCAAAACACAGTAGAGCACCATATTAAAATCAACTTCATAAGCATGCATCTACCCCAAGAATCCACCTACAACCATCATATGAAAACCCTGTAAATTAGAAATACCTAGTTGAAAGGAAGAAGAGGATCATGATGATTTCATAAGGTGGCACCTTCAACAAAGCCATCACATGCTTCAATAAAACCTTACAAAATGTGAACAAACAAAGATCATAAAACAATTTCAAGAAAACCAACTATGGATTAATGTCACGCCATTCTTCAAAAGAGCCTTACATGCCTTGGCAAAATCCTGAACAACGGATTAAAATATTGATAYGATTCAATATAGGATATGCTAAGTGTATCTTATCGATCGTGTGTATTGGTCCAATACGCCATTGTATCGTCTAATACAGTCTGATAGGTACCCATACGAAAGCATGTTGAAACCTAAATTGATAATGTGCACACTATAAAAAACAAGGCTAGCATGATGCAAACCTAAGAACCCAAGATGATTAATACCTACAATTATATGCATCTTTACCAAGCCACCTTTTATTTCATGACAGTGAGTGGAATAAATTATCTTTTATTAAAATTAATGTCTACATGTAATCCAAAAAAATCAACATACACATGTGTTAATGTGTATGCCCTCAGTTCATATTGATGTGTTGTACATACTTTTGTTATGAATAAAAGAATGTTTATTTCATGTGTTATTGGGTTGTTCCGCTACATACCCTTAGTTCATATAAATATTATGTAAGAGACCTCAAAATTGTTATAATGTGGACTTTAAACTTCACAACCAGTGGATATATTTGGGTAAGTCTATCTTGACAAAGTTGTCATTCTCGCACTTCCCAAAGTAGTAGAGTTGTGATCTCAGCTGCTCGAGTTATGACCTAAGGTGTGAGGATGAGTTTTGTTGGAAACATTGAATCGGACCAAACCCATTATGTTCTTGGACTTTATGACTGGTGGAACAACTGAGTGTTGCTTTTAATACCTATACTTGATATTGATATCACATTGAGCATCAGACTTGTTTTTCTTTGATATACCAACCAATGAGATTCTTCTAGGGTCAAACATTTGGGTATGTTGGGAGAATTAAGTGTAGTATGTATATTGATGATCAATGTTATAGGTTCTACTACTATGTTAGGATGTAAAGAATATTTTATACAACTTCCTCCTTGGAATCCTGAATATATCAACAATATGATTATCTACATCCTCAATGATGGATCCAATGGTGTTGGAAGTTAGACATCATGTCATAAAAATGTAAATAGAGTTTTACGTAGTACTAGTCAAATTACGTGATAGATAAGCTTAATAAGACTAGGATTTGACTAGGTGATAGATTCCAATCTAATGGCTAATTTAAGAGACTTGGGCTCTTTCTAATCTTATCTTAATTGAATTAGAAAATGTAAATAGATTAGGAGAAGGCTCTTGCACCCTCCAAAATCTATAAATGAGAAGGGATCAAACCATGCTTTGTTCTCCCTACTACTTGCATTCGTTCCCCCCCTCTCAATTGTGAGACATTTAAATTGGGGTGGTTTTGCACCTTATTTGACCAGAGCTTATATCCATTGGTCCAAGCACTACTCTAGCCTTGTTTCGGGACAAGAAAACCACCAAAAAATGTGACAAAGGTTGGACTTTTGTTGTTATACTTCCTGAAGAAGAAATCCAAGATCGTAAATATAAAGTTGCACCATCTTCAACTTGTTGTAAAGTTACTGGGAGGATTCAAGCTTGGGTGTGAACACCACTTCGAATTTTGCATTTGTGGATTTTAGCACAAATGGTCTAAGAACCCAATCGGTCCTATGAGAAAAACCGGTTTTCTCATGTCTTCGGTTTTAGCATTAGGATTTATTGAATTTTTTAATTTATGTCTTTCTTATTGTTAGGATTTTTGGAACAATACGATCATTGGATGATCATTTCAATATGTTGAACAACTCCAATAACAAATTACAAAGATTAATATTCAAAATTCATATTATATAAACCAATGGAGTATATAAGCTATAAAATCACATTTATATCAAATATTATTTTTTATTTTAAGAAATTTATACAAATAAAATATAAATAATATAATAATTATTTTAATATTTAAAATTTATAAAATTGCACATGACATGTATCTTAATTTTTTTATAAAATATTAATTAATATTTTAATTTGCATTAAATAATAATGTATTTATTATTTATGAAAACAAAAATATTGTTTACAAAATATTCGAGAATATAATATGAATTGAAGATATCAAATCCATTCATCTACATTTATATTAAAAAAATTAAAATTTTACTTTAAAAAACTTTATAAAAATAAAAATATTAATAATGAAATGATTATTTTAGTAATTAGAATTTATGAATTTTCACATGGCATGTATCTTCAAAATTTTAATAGGTTTGATATATTTTATGTTAAGATTATATATTTTTATAAATTATTAATTGATATTTTGTTTTTATTTTTATAATTACATATTTATTGTTTACAAAAATGAAAATATTGTTTAACAAACATCTGAGAATTAATTTTTTTAGTTGTTTTTTTTGTTAATGTTAAAAATTAAAAATAGTAAAATGGAAAATGATATATTAATTCAAATATGTTATTTTTATAGTTTTCGTGGCTTAGACTTTAAACGAATATAAAATAATAGTGGCTTTGTACATGTATTAATTTGAATAAATCTATATAATATGTGTCTTAGACTTTTGATTGATGCATTATCAATAAAATTGTAGGATTTTTATGCCCACTATATTAATTGTAATATATTTCTTCATATATACCATTAAAATATACAATTTCTATGTATTTATAAATTATTTATAGCTATTTTGATATTAAACTTAATGTTATTAATATATTTATAGAATTTGTATACATTTTCTTAATGTACCCAAGCATTTCTATATATATTTCTTCATCCATATCCACGCATTTCCAGAGCATATCCGTATCCATATCCATAGCCCAGTTGTTCGATATGGCACTTTATACCAATACTTTGGTCCTGGTCCTAAACTCCTCAATAAACAAGTGCGTTATCCCTCTTAGACCAATCAACTCCAACTTTGCATAGAAATTAAAGTTTATTCTATACGTATTTTCTAGAAAAGGTAAAAATATAATAAAGAAATGAGAAATGTAAGAAAGAAAGGCATGTCGAGAGGAAAAAAGTAATAAAAAAACATTGTCGTCATTGCATGGGGGGGGATAGAGTATAGAGCCGTCTAGAAAGTCTTTTTGGGAAGATCTTTTGGTAGCTCTAACAATCAAATGATGCATTGAGCTTTTGCATTAAGATCCGAGCAGCCTAAAGCCCGTTTGGTTAAGGAGTGTCTTTTCACACGTCTTTTTGCGCAAAGATGAATAGAAAAAACGCAAAAGCTCCATTTGGAGCTTCCCAAAAATTGCCTATTTTGGGCTTCTCGTGTCTTTTCGGTGCATTGGCTTTTGACAACTAGATCTACTATGAACCAAACGGGAAAGACGACAGACTGCACATAAAGACGCACCAAACGAGGCCTATGTTTTTCCACATTGAAACAATAGGAAGATGTTGCTCCTCCTCTATATTGAAGTTATACTTTCAATTTGCATGATTTAGTTGGAAGAGAAAGATTAGTAATGTGTAAGGAGAAGATACGAATGGGTTAGGAAAGGAGGAGTCCTATTATGGGTAGTTTTTCATTATATCATGATTTAGAGTCGTTGATTTTTAAGTCTAACCCTCTTTTTTCTTTATATAAAGGGAAAATTCCTGATTAGTACACTGTCTTTGGGCCTAGTGCTACTTTGGTCTCCGAACTTTAAAACGTAATAATTCAGTATATGAACTTTTAAAACATGTCAATCCAGTAATTATCGTTAACCCGCCATTAAGTGGTGTTTGAAAAGATACAAATGCCCTTTAGTGTCATCTAATTCTCCTTATCAACCATCCAAATGTTGACAAAAAATGAATAGTCCCAAATCCTTGCCTCTTCTATTAAACCCCAACTTTCTTAAATAGAAGAGGCAAAGATTTGGGATTGTTCATTTTTATCAATATTTGATGATTGATAAAAAATAAGATTACATTCAAAAGACATTTGTATCTTTTCAAATGCTACTTAATGGCTGATTAAAGATACTTATTAAATTTACACATTTTAAAAGTTTGGGAGTTGAATTTTCGCATTTTAAAATTTGCGACCAAGGTAACAATAGGCTAGAGTACGAGAATTTTCCCTTGTATAAATTTACTTGTAAATTTTTCTTCAACATGAACCGAAGAGTAGGATTAGGAGTGGTAGAAGGGGAAGGGACAAATGAGAGAATTGAGGAAAGGGCTCAGGGCTGCAACTAATATTCTTGTCGGTCCCACCATTTCTCTATTGAAGAACCGAACAGTGCATATTCTTAATAAATAATTCAAAGTTTAAAACAGCTTGTAAGGATCATATTCGGTATTGGGTACCGACTATCAAGAGAAAAGATCATATCCCGTCTTCATTACTCGGACTGATCTAATGGTCTATAATCCATTATTCTGTGGCAGTTATTGAGAACATCTCTCATGATGTTTTCAATACACAGTGGGATGTTCTATGGACGTTGTAAGGGGAATCTTGTGGGGGCTGATTTGATATCCCAAAAGCGGTCATAAAATACGTGCCTGTAACTTCCTGTATAATGTACTTCTATAAATCATTTTGACATGAAACTCTCTCCCCTCCCTCTGAGACTATTGAGTCTTGGCTCTGCAATCTGGTGAAGTAGGGAAGTTACAATGGGAGCTGGAAGGAAAACACAAACATTTACGTTGAACCACGAGAGAGGGAAAGGTCCATTAGCGGTCCGTGCAAACTCTAGTGCTTCTGCTCGTGGGTTGAGGAAAGGAGACACTGGTGGGTTGATATTTGGTTGTACTCATGCTACGATGAAGGAGTGCCTGGCAATGCAGTTGTTTGGTTAGTTCTTTAACTTTCCTAATCTCCATTTGAGGTTATGTAATGATGATTTTGTGGTAACGTTTGCGTTTCGTGCTCTTGCAGTTGGTCTTGTGATTTTTTTTGAATATCCATGTTGATTTTTACTCATTGAGACTTCTAGATCGTGATATATATATTTTTGTAAATTAGGTTTCCAGGATTCGTGAAATTTTTACCTGTTACTCATGAACTTTTATCACTATGTTAAACCATCCTGTTTTCTGGTTACAATTCGTGCTCTTGTATTTCGGTTTGTGGTTTTCTTCAATTCAATGCCCACATCGACTTCTTTTTACTCGGTGGAATGTATTGACAGATGTTTATTATTCATTTATGTATAAATCTTGGCATCATGAATTCATGAAGTACTCGACTCTTTCACAGGATTGCCGGCTCAACATATTTCGTACGTGAGGAATGTTGAACCCGGCCTACCCTTGTTTCTTTTCAATTATTCTGATAGGAAATTACATGGTATTTTTGAGGCTGCATGCCAAGGGCAGATGAATATCAATCCATATGGCTGGACTGATGGGTCTCAGAGAAGCCCGTATCCTGCACAGGTAGGCATGCATTGTGTTATTTCTAATTTACTCGAAATTTTCCATTTAGGAATAATGGATGTATTTGAAACAATGGATAATTATATTACTATTTTTCTCTCCCTCCCCCTATTTTATTAGGTTCGCATCCATGTCAGGTTGCTGTGCCAAGCACTGACAGAAGGGCAGTTTAAACGGATAATTGAGGATAACTATTACAGTTCGAGCCACTTCTATTTTGAGCTGGACCACAAACAGACAAGAGATTTGATTGCATTATTTTCTTCATCACCGGTCCAAGGTAGTACTACCTTACCGAACAGTTCTGTCAATTGGAACACTTTGCCAATGGTCCTTTCAAATCCTATTAGAACTCGTGGAGACGATGGCTCTATAACACCAACTTCAGAGATGGATGTAGGTCAATCAGATCAGTTTAACATGGAATCCTGGCTATCAGGTGCTGCATCTTCCTTGGATGATGTAAGCGAGTCACTAGAAGAACACAAAGATGGGGTTGTTGAGGAAAATTTTGAAAAACAGGAAGAGGTATACCGTAGGCTACTTGAAATATCCAAAACTCGTGAACGTTGCAATTCTTCTCCAAAGGAAAATGCTGAAGACATTGCTAGTCCTTCTATGGTAAATGACAAGCATTCAGAGGGTGAATGCTTTTCAGATGAGCAACGGGTTTCAGAAGAGAATAGAGAATGTCCATTTAACTCCACTGATCCTCATTTCATCATATCTAAGGTTATTAATGCTTTTGTTATCTGTTAACTTTGTCTCTCTAGTTTGGTTATTTGTTTATTCTGTACTCATGTTCCCTAATGCGTTTAATGTAGTTGATGTGGAAAATAGAGCAATTGGAGATAGAACAACTCCAAAAGATGGCAGCATTGGAGAGCAAGCTGGTATTTCTGCTCATAATGTTGGATACTAGATTGATTTCTTTTTGTTATTTCTTACTGATTTGTCATGCATCTTTAATTGCCAAATAATGCCTTTGACACTTTCAAGTTTATTGGAACATTCTAATGCGTTTCTGCATCAAATGTTATCATCATCATCCATGCCTTATCCCAACTATATGGGGTTGGCTACATAAAGCCTGCTTCTCCAATCCATTCTATTTAAAACCATATCCAACATTAAATCATTAGTGCTTAACCGTTTCTTACTACTACCCATGTCCTTTTTGGTTTACCCCTAACTTTGCTAGTGTGAGCATGTCTTACATTGTCAGTCCCAAGCCCAGATAAAGGAGGAGGGTTTCATCAGGTTGGCCAATGACACTAAAACTTTTGCCAAACTCTCATTAATATGGATCCTGATTTGTCTTTTCTGCATCAAATATGTATTAATAAAATTATGAATCAAATTCAGACTATTGGCGAATGTACATTATTGTTAAGAAGGTTGACAGAATTATCAATTAGTTAGGGCAGTAGTATTGAATTTGATTTGATTTTACTTGATGTCCCTCATGTAATCTTCATAGTGTAGGAAGACATTTTTGGAGTTATATGTAAAAGTTGTCTTCCTAGAAGACTCTTGGAGCTAAGGTGGTTATTTCTTCTTTGATGAAAAACACCACAATTTTCAAGGTGATTATTTCTTCTTTGTTATTTGATTTCACAATTTTGCTGATTTCATGTTTGTAAGGTGGTCTTTTGGAGCATAGTGATTTCTTGTTTAGTCCAGACTCAGATCTGAACTATTCGTAGGGGAATCCACAATTCAGCCCTCCAGCAGCCAAGGGTTGATCTGATGAGTTTTAATTGTCCCTTAAAAAACCAGCCAACCAGAAACCTACTTCACCTATTTCTCATGGTTGAACTATTTTATCTTTCAATGCCAACCATGGGCCTTATGACCGGTATTTATGTAATCGATTAAACTCTCTTAGTTTCTCTTTGGTTTCAATCATTTATTGACTACAGTAGACAATATTGAACGTTACACTGATTTATGATCTCTATTCTTCTGTCCAAGTGAGGTGTAATGTATCTTAACAAGTAAACTCTCCTTATGTTACACTGATTTATGATCTCCATTCTGCCAACCAAGTTAGAAGGTCTAATATTGCTTTCATGTTTAACTAGAAATGATCACATGACTGAACATTTATATCTTAACAAGTAAAATCTCTTTTTACCTTAAAATGGTGGCCTTTGCTGGATCAAGATACTAAATATATGCTCCTTGCTCCAAATATCAAACCCTTCACAGAATTCAGTAGACAATATTAAACTCTCCTAAGGTTACACTGATCCCAAATTGTAACAGTCTTTAACATCCAGAATTGTAAGTCTTTAATATTTTTTCATGCTGTTTTTGTCAAGGTGCCATCCTGTCACCTCCTTTAGTAATCCTTTTATTTTAATAAAAATTTTATTATTACTCTTCAAAAAAAAAAAAAAAGGTTACACTGATTTCTGATCTGCATTCTGCTGACTAAATGAGAAGATCTAATATTGCTTTCATGTTTAACTAGAATTGATCACAAGATTGAACATTCATATCTGAACAAGTAAAATCTTTTTGTACCTTAAAATGGTGTAAAATGGTGGCCTTTGCTGGATCAAGATACTAATATATGTTCTTTGCTCCAAATATTAAACCCTTTGCAGAATTCATTATATTCCTTTTCATGGTGATTTTTTTTGGTAATAAAATAAAATTTATCAAGAAATGAAAAAAGAAAGTACAAAGGAGAGTGACCAGAAGTCATTCGAGAGAGGCAAGAAAAAGCAAACAACTCCCAAACAAGATGCCCAATCAGCTGAAATCCAGCAACCAGAAAAACCCAAAAACCAAGGACACCAAAAAACAAACCCACATACAACAGCCCAGGCACCTCAAAAACCTCAAAACAAACTTAACCTCAAAGAGAGCACAAACAAAACACACTTCACCCCCCCCCGAGAAAAAACAACAAACTCTCACAGCAAAATTTAACACAAATTCAACATCTCCTTGGAAAGCAATTTATGAGGTCTATCATTTCTTCCTTAATCTCATTTGGTATGATGTGGGAAATGGCCAAAGAGTCTTGTTTTGGGTGGATCTTTGGATAGGTAAACATTCATTAAAGGTCTAACTTCTGTTGCTCTATGCACTTTCCATTTACAAATTCAAGCCCATTTCTAAGTTTGTGAGCGTCTCAACTTTGGGTTTAAATTGGGACTTTGGTTTCAGAAGGGGTCTTAGGGATTCAGAATGTGAGTCTCTCATCTCTCTTTTGGCCAGACTTGACTCGTTTTTTTTTGGATCAAATTGTTGAGGATACTAGGGTATGGTCAATCTCCCCCAATGGTCTTTTTACTTACACTTCCTTCTTTAACTTCTTAACTCAGCCAGCTATCTTGGGGGCAATGTTCCTGGTGAAAGAAATTTGGAGTAAGGCAATCCCTCCTAAGATTCAGGCTTTTTTTTGGGAAGTCTTCCTTGGAATGACAAACACTTGTTATATGCTGCAGAAAAGAAGGCCAAATAAGTGCCTCTCCCCTCATGTGTGCAGCCTATGTAAATGAAATGGTGAAACTGTTTCCCATATCTTTTTATTTATTTTTGATGAATCCATATCTTTTTATTTTTCCCTTTTGTGCTTTGTATTTGGGGACATCTTCTTTCTCTTTTTGGGTGCAGGTGGAATCCCCCACAGGAGGTGGTGGGCCTTTTTGACCCTAGCTTCATGAGGCAACCAAAACAAAGAGGAAGGTTATTATGGAAAATAGTGAGGGCTGCCTTGGTGTTTGGACTATTTGGGAAGAGAGAAATGGAAGAATTTTCAATGAAAAAAGCAGATCAGAGATGGAAATTTTTGAAACAATAAAATAAAAAACTGCTCACTGGGTAAAAACTCTGGAAGACTTCGAAGTCTTCTCTTTGAATGACACCCTCAGAAGTTGGAAGGAAGTGGCTGTATCAGCCCAAGGAAAAGAAAAGTTTTTTATGGAGTGGAGACCCCCAGAAACAAATTTCATGAAGCTGAATTTTGATGGAAGTTTCCTTGGTAACCAAAATGTAGCGGGGATAGGAGGTGTCTTCAGATTCAGGAGGAAAGGTGTTAGCTTTGTATTCAGGGCCTCTAGAAAATGGGGACGTACTGACTGCAGAGCTAATTGGACTCCTGTAGGGATTAAAATTTTCTAGGTACTTTGGGTTCCTTAATTTGGAAGTGGAAGGGGACTCTCAAGTGGTCATTGCTTGGACAAGATGTAGCACCCAAATCCCATGGATCTATAGGCATAATTTTAGGGAGATTGTGAGCATTGTAAGGGAGTTAAATGTTACTTTCAAATGGGTGATAAGAACAGCAAACGGGATGGCAGATACTCTAGCTAAATAAGAGGCTAGGAGACCCCAATTGTTTTAGGCTGAACTGTAAACTGTAATTTGGAAAAGAACACTCTCACCCTGTTGTAATTTTCTGTTCTAACTCTAATAAAATATTTTCTCATTGATCCAAAAAAAATTTAACACTAGCCATTAAAACTTCTTGAGGTTTTGTTGGTCTTCAAAATCTTCTTGTTTGGTCTAATCCCAAAGAGCCCTTTTAGTCTAGCAAAAGCCTAGACCAGAATATCTTGATATTTCTCTGTTTTTTAGGCTCAGTTTGAAGGAGCACAAACACAAATATTTAGACTGCAAAACCTTGTGTTTTGTATTATTTTGTATGTATTTGCACTGTACATATTTGTATTTGTACTCTATCCAAACTGGGCCTCAAGATTTCTATTTGCTAAAACATTCTTCCTGAAATCCCCCAAGCAAGAAGGGTTCTCATTAATCCTTTCCAGCTCCAGGACTGTGTTTTTCTCAAAGAGCTGGACATCAACCAAAACTTCAGTTTTTTTCACTAGCAACTTCTACTGAACTAAATGTGTTTAAATCAATGTGGCCTGCCTCAATCATTGGAGGGTGCAACTGGAAATCTCCAAGATTCACCTCCCAAAACAAACATGCCTAGAGCTTTACCTACATCCACAGCTGTGTCCATAACCTTAGTTAGGTCAATAGCTTTATCAATCTGATGAGTCTCATCTGTACGAACTTCTTCCTCACCATCCTCATCAGAAGATAGGGCCCATCAGGACATTTTCCAACTTCAGTCTCTGTCAAAGGTCTTGTTCTGCATGCCCTCTTCCTGTTGTACACTTTGGGCCCTGAGAAATCCTGGTTTCACATCTGTTTCTTCTCCCCTCCTCTAACCTTTCACTTCTGAGGAAACAGCGTCAACCAAATCAGAACAAAGGCCTGTTCTGCCCCTTCCTCTAAGCCCTTCTCCAAAGTGAAAGTCTTAGCTGCAACAGGGTTAAACCCCTCCACTATGCCCTCTCAGCCATTATGAGAGATCTGTTCTGAGACCTGGTTTGTGGAAGGAGATTGTCAAATGGTGATTAACTGGTTTCAATCAAAGCTGAAGGCCCTTGGTGTTTAAGAAACAAAATAATAGAAGCTATGGCACTGGCACTGGTTACCAATCTGAACTGCTCGTTCGGTTGCATACCTAGGTCTGTCAATAGCTGAGACAGGCTAGCCAGACTTGGGGTGAACAAGAGGGAACCGGAGTGGGGCACACCAGGTCCAGTGGTATCATTTGTAATTTAGAGTGTTTAGTTACTTGTTGATATATGTTAGCTTATGGCTGTTTTGAATTATGAGTTACCCATCCATTCTCTTGTAGTGTAGGGTGCCTCTTTCTTTTTTTAAAAGGTATAGGGTCTCTCTATCTTTTCCTGTTGTTATGTGATAAGGTTACTTGTTTTTTTATTGGGCATATGACCATTTTGAATTTGTAGTAATACCTTTTACACCTACTGATGCTTAGATCATCTGGTTAACATCTGCTTGCTTTGGCTTTCTAAATTGATAATTTTCTTTTTTATTCAAGAAATGCAGATTTGGT